TAACAATAACAAAATACAACAATAACAACAATAATAGAGACTGCAAGATATAGTTTTGCAGGATCAACTACTGATTCATTGGAAATACCTTCCTCTCAACAAATCAAACAGCATGTTTACTAGAACCTCACCAGATGGAAATCACAGGTATCAAATCAACTTAATCTGTGGAAAGAGACTGTGGAAAAGCCCATGTCATCAGTCAGAACAAGGCGAGGGGCCTACTGCAGAACAGAGGCTGAAGAAAATTAAAACAAATCCACTGGAGTCCAAGTACAACCTTGAATGTATGTCTCACCTAGATATAGACGTCATCTGAAAAATCTATTTGATGCACTGCTGCACACCTGGTGTGGTGCTGTGGGTTAATGCGCCTTTCTGCAAAGCCATTTGAACTGCAAGATTGGCAGTTCAAGCTCACCAGCTGCTTTTTGGAAATCTTTTATAGGGTCGCTATGGGTTGGAACCGACTCAACGGCACTTAACAACAACAACAACAACAAACACTAATAATAGAAGAAGATGAGAAGAGTTGTAAAATTACATCAAGGACATCTACATGAAGAAATCAAAAAAGGTCATTAAAAACACAGAAGATAAAGAAAAGATCAAATTGATGTCAGAAGAAACATGCTCTACATGCTCTCAAATGTAGAGTTGCTAAAGCAAATCAAAGGAATTATGAAATAACAGAGATGAATAGAAGAATTCTGTGGGCTGTATGAGAAGACAAAGTAAAATATTATAATAAAATGTGCAAAGATCTGGATTTAAAAGTCCAAGGAAAGAAACACTCATCATGTCTCAAGCTGAATGAAATAAAGAAAACCTTCAAGCCTTGAAGTGTAATTTTGAAGGGTTCTATAGGCTGTGTCCTGGTGTGGTGCCGTGGGTTAATGTGATGAGCTGCAAAGCTGGTTTGACCCTCAAGGTCGCTGGTTCAAGCTCACCAGCTGCTCCTCAGTAGCCCTATTTGCTATGGGTAGGAACCGACATGGAGGCACTTAACAATAACAACAAAAATTGGCAAAATATTGAATTATGCAGAAAGCATCAAAAAAGATGGAAAGAATTCTCGGAGTCATTGTATCACAAAGATCTGGTCAATATCCAACCATTTTAGGAGGCAGGAGTTGATCAAGACTGATGACCTTTAAGGAAGAAGTCCAAGTTGCACTATAGACCTTGGTGAAAACATGGCTCCAGAAATGGACAGAATAACAACTGTGATGTTTTAATAAATGAGTGCAATGCTGGAAGCACTTTTGTTTCCACCAAGGAATTTGGAAGACAACTACCTGGACAACCAACTGGAACATATCCATATTTATGCCAATTCCTAAGGAAAGTTACCCAGTGGAATGTGGAAATTATTGAACAATATCATTAATATCATACACAAATAAAAACTTTGCTAAAGATATCTCAAAAATGATTGTAGCAGTACATCAACAGGGAACTGCTAGAAATTCAAGCCAGAGGTAGAAGAGGACATGAAAGGAAGAATGTCATTACTGATGTCAGATCAATCTTGGCTGAAAGCAGAGTATACCAGAATATCTACCTATGTTTTTAATTGACTGTATAAAACCATCTACAGTATGGGTTGTAGCAAATTATTATTCACAGAATGAGAACTTCAGGCCACTCAACTGTGCTCATGCAGAACCTATACATAGACCAAGACTTGGTTGTTTGAACAGAACAAGGATACACTGCAAGGTTTAAAATCAAGAAAGATATATGTCATGGTTGTGTCCTTTTACCATATTTATTCATGCTGTATGCCGAACAAATAATCTGAGGAACTGGCCTATATGAAGAAGAATATGACATCAGGATTGGAGGAAGGCTCATTAACAGCCAGTGATATGCAGATGACAAACCCTTGCTTTCTAAAAGTAAAAGATGACTTTTATGAGCATTTATTTATGAAGATTAAATACTGCAGCCTTTAGTATGGATTGCTTCTCAACATAAAGGGAAACATAAATCCTCACAACTGTGCCAATAAACAGTATCATAATGAATAGAGGAAAATACTGAAGCTGTCAAGGATTCATTTATGTGTGTTCACCAGTAACAACCATGGAAGCGGCAGTCAAAAAGTCAACGTATTGCATTGGGCAGATCTGCTGCAAAAGACCTCTTTAAAAGTGCTACAAAATCAAGATGTCACTTTGAGGACTAATGCGCACCTGCCTGAAGCCACATTTTGTTTTTGTTTGTTTGTTTATTTTCTAATCACCTTTTATACATATGAAAGCTGGATATTTATAAGGATGTCCCAAGAAGAACTGATGCATTTGAATTAAGGTTTTGGCAAAGCACATTGAAACTATCATGGACTGACAGAATAAACACATCTGTCATGAAAAAAAATATAATGAGAATGTCTCTTAGAAACGAGGATGGTAAAACTTCATATTACTACTTTCCTTACTTACTTTGACATGTTATCATGAGAGACCAGTCCCTAGAGAATGACATAATGCTTGTTAAAGTTAAGGGTCATCAGAAAGGAAGCAACCCTTCAGTGGAATGGACTGACACAGTGGCTGCCAAGTGATAGATTCCTAATATTTACCGATGCTCTTCCGTAGGGAAATCACATGGTACTCTTTTTTTCTTTGACTCATGGGCTCAAATATAGCAACAGTTGTGAGTCTGGTGTAGGATTGGGCAGCATTTCATTCTGTTGTACTATATAGAGTAGTTCACAGCAAGGATTGGGACTGTGGTAGTTTCATATGATAAGCACTGGACTGCAAACCATAAATAAAGTTGGCTTTTTGAGCCCACCAGCTGCTTTGCAGGAGAAAGATGAGGCTTTTATTCTTTGTGAGAGCAGAACCGACTTATGGCAGTTACCAACAACAACAAGGACATGAAGAATAGCAGTCACAGCCATGATTCTAACGGTCATCAAGTTGGTCTGACTCATAGGGAACCATACAGGGCTTCCCAGGTTGTATGTCTTAATGGGAGCAGAAAGTCCCATCTTTCTTCTTTGGAACAGGTGGTAGGTTTGAACTGCCAATCTTGCAGTTAGTAGTATAGTGCTTATCCTACAGCATCACTGCGGTTCTTTCAAGTCCCTGGGTGTCACAGATAGTCTATGAGTCTAATGTTGGTTCTTCAGCTCCACCCAGAAAAACCGTGGACCAGACACCCAACTGTCTGTTCCGCTGAAGTCCTGGTGTGGCACTGTGGGTTAAACACTTAACCACAAGGTCAGATAAAACCACACAGTGGGTTGTTCAAACGCATCAGCCATTCCTCTGAAAACCTCTACAGGGTCACTATGAATTGGAAACAACTCGACAGCTCTGAACAGCAGCATCTGCTTCTGTAAGATTCCAGCCAAGAAAGCCCTATGGAGCACAGTTCTACTCTGTAATAAACCCTGGTCATCGTGAGTTGGAATTGACTCCGTGGCAATGGTTTTGTTGTTGTTGTTGTTGTTTTATGAAGAGGTAAAGCAGAAGCAGTCTTTCATTAGGAAGTTGGATTTATAAATCCAGGAGCATTATCTTTATGAATCCTTTTCCATAACCCCAAACCATGTTTTCTAAAAGCAATAAACGCTGAAGTTGTTCTTCTCAGGCTCATATGTGCATGAATAGATTCCTCTACACACATAAAATGTCTCTTTAAAGACCCAAATATGAGGGCTGAGGACGCTAATGGTACCCAATCGCATTCCTTTCTGTCTTGTTTTTTGCATCCTGTAGTTGGAATTGACTTGATGGCACTTAACAACAACAACAGTATACTAGCCTGGTGTGGCTCTGTAAGATAAGCACTAGAATGCTAACTGTAAGGTCGGCAGTTCATACCTATCCTCCACTCCTCAGAAACCCTATCCAGTGTCATTTAGTTCAAACTGACATGAGGGCACTTAACAACCACATTGTGTTCCTCGTAACACAAATGCTGTTTCTTTGTATAATATTTTTATGTCAAAACTCTAAATGATAAATATCAATTGCCCGTCCTGGTGTGGTGCTGTGGGTTAATGCGCCAGACTGCAAAGTTGTTTGAACTGCAACGTCAGTGGTTCAAGCTCACCAACTGCTCCTCGGAAACCCTATACGGGGTCGCTATGGGTTGGAATCAACTGAACAACATATTTTGTTCAAATTCTATATGATGTTTGTTGTTGTTGTTGATATTAAGTGCTATTGAGTCAGGTTGACTCATAGCGACCGTGCATAGGGTTTCTGAGGAGCACCTGGTGGCTTTGACCTGCCGACCTCGTGGTTTGCAGTCCAGTGCTGATCCTACAGGGTCACACCAGGAGTCCATGTGATGGCAGGTTAGGTATATAATGATAATGCAAAATATTTCATGGCATTATGATTCATTATGGCAGCCCAAATTACGTTCATTATAGCTTTGTTATTAAGTGCATTTAATTCCATTATGAATCTCTAAACACTGATAATCGATTGCTATATATGGAATCTCCAAAGAGTCCAAAATATTACATTAATTTGAATATCTCATTTGTGAACCATTCCAAGTATCAGCAGTTTAATTTAATTTTGTGTTAGAACAAATTCATAAAAAGACTAGCACAAATGTATTCATCAGTTTGCATTCATTGTGCTAATGACAATTCTTTGCACATATTTTTATTTGACTTTTTATCAAACAGAAAGATTTTCTAAAATGTAATAGTAAAAAAAAATAAAAAAAACTGAGCTATTTGGGAGAGAAATTAAATAATAGATTCCTAATATTAATGGATGCTCTTCTATATGGAAATCACATCGTCTCCATTTTTGTTTGACTCATGGAAAAATCATAGCTACAAGTCAAATCTCATTTAACATATTGTTATCTAGGGTTCCTTAGTATTGTAATCATAGAGTGCATTTAAAAAAAAAGAAAAAGAAAATGCCCGCTCAAAGCAATTATTTTTGAGATTAAACAATGAGGTTTTATTTTTTTAAGATCTTAATAAATTTCTGACCACTTTCTTGTTTTATTGGCAGAATTTTTCCGAGAGCTCTTGGAGAATGCAGAGAAGTCCCTCAATGACATGTTTGTAAGGACCTATGGAATGCTGTACATGCAGAACTCCGAAGTGTTCCAGGACCTCTTTACTGAGCTGAAAAGATACTACACGGGGGGCAATGTGAACCTGGAGGAGATGCTCAATGACTTTTGGGCTCGGCTTCTGGAACGGATGTTTCAGCTGATAAACCCACAGTATCACTTCAGTGAGGACTACTTGGAATGTGTGAGCAAATACACCGACCAGCTGAAGCCTTTTGGAGATGTGCCCCGGAAACTGAAGATTCAGGTCACCCGTGCATTCATTGCAGCGCGGACATTTGTTCAAGGACTGACTGTGGGCAGAGAAGTTGCAAACCGAGTTTCCAAGGTAAGTAAAAAAAGCTACTGTCTTTCTAACCAGTCTTCTTCATTTCGTTTATTCTGTTTTTAAGGTAAAAACTAGAAAACAAACAAGGTAAACAAGTTCTCATTTATAGTGATTTTTTGTTGCTTCTAGACAAACCAGCTTTATGTCAAAGCTTAATTTTGTTTTTTTGTTTTGTTTTGTTTTTTCCATCCTTGTTTTAGATGAGAGAAGACAGGTTGCCATTCTATGTCATTTAGAGTATAGTGTCAATATTTATCAGTAATATAGTGGTGGTGGTGGTTATGTGCCGTGTAGTTGGTTCCGACTCTTAGCGACCCTGTACAGGGTATCCGAGGCTGTAAATCTTTACAGGAGCAGAAAGCCTCATCTTTCTCCCACGGAACAGCTGGTAGTTTTGAGCTGCTGATCTTAAGATTCGCAGCCCGATTCATAACCACTACGCTACCGGAGCTCCTTAGTAACATAGTAAAGAGCCTCGCTATGGGTCGGAACCAACTCTATGGCACTTAACAACAACAACAACAAAGAGCCTTTATAAGAACTAGTGCCCCAAACAGGTGTCTTGCAACCATAATCACTTGTATTTCTGAGCAGCGCTTTAAGATGGCGCATCCTTACACAGCAGTCCATTGGAGGTTCAAGCCCTCCAGGAAGTCACAGATGGTATTCTTGGTTCTTCAAGTGGAGACAAGGTGTTCTTCGAAACACCAGCATGAGGCTTACCTTTTTCTTTGTCACCTTGTCAAAGAGGCCAGATTTCTTAATAGTGAAAGAAGAGGTGTCGGCTAACACCTCAAGAACCAGATTAGAGATAAGCACTGGAATGGAAGGTTGGTTTGAACCACTAGATTGGTGGTTCAAATGCAACAACTCTTCCGCAGAAACCCTCTATAGGATCACTATGTTGTTGTTGTTAGGTGCCATCGAGTTGGTACCGATTCATAGTGACCTTATGCGCAACAGAGCAAAACACTGCCCGATCCTGGGCCAGCCTCACTGATGTTGCCATGCTTGAATCCATCGATGCTGTGAGCTGGGACCAATTTGAAGGCACTTAACAATAGCAGCAATGAATACCAAGTATGACTGCAGTCATAAAATTCCTTTTGTTATCCATTGTCTTTGCAGTGCAGTATCATGTATTGCATTGGTCTTATGAGAAAGGTAAATCATCAATGCGCTTTTGTGCCTTTCCTTGAGGATAATGTTTTTAAGCCTGTAAGACAAGGGCCCTTTCTCCACAGCTGTCTTTAAACATTGACTATTTCCTATGTCATGTTTAGCCTCCATTGTTTAAGTTCTTTCTTGACATTTACCTGCTCTTATGAGATGGGTTTGCCCATTTATGAGGTCAGTCTAACAAATGAACTGCAAGATGATTACTTGAAGTAGTAAAGTAAAAACAATACATATCAGGAATCTTGTTTTATGTCATCCAAAGAAGGTCATATTTGAACAAAGATTATTGCCAAACACTACTTTTCTATTGCAGGACTATATCAAAGACCAGACAGTATTTTTTATATCTCTCGTTGCCATTCTGCTAAATTTCTTATTTTTCCACATTGATCTTCAAAATATTTACATCTTGCCTTAAAGATTGTGTTTACCTTTAAAGATGTTTTTCTATCACATTATTTGTAAAGTACATGAAAATTAGTTTTCAAGTTATCCATTTCTAATAATTTTATTTAAGCATGTGGAAAGGTTATTAGCTCTAAAGCTCAAAAAGGGAAATGTACAAGTGATTGAATAGTATTAAGTGCATTCAACTCTGTTGTTAAAAATAATGATTTTTCTATTGAAGTAAAAAAATCAAATGAATTAACAAGGAATTGACCAGGTAGAACAATAGGAAATGTGATCACCTGAGGAAAGCCTGCAAAATGTAAATAAATATAAAATATGTTTATTTCCCATACTTTGTTAACAGGTAGATATCATTAAAAATAATAATAAGTATAGTCACTGGGGCTTCAAACTGAAGCCTTTGCTTTTGTTGAAAAATGAAACTTTTGAGAAGCATGAAAGTAAATTCAAAGTGCATTGATAAATATACCGTAAGAATGTTTGATAATTTATATTTTACTTGACTTAGGTTTGAATACCATTTGGATGCGTGTATTATGAGATAAGCTCATATCTTCTAGCAAGGTGTCTAATAGATTGCATTGCAGATGACTGCTCTCCCTTTTTCTGTTGTTTCTAAAACAATGGCAGTGACCATGGCATGGAGATGGTGCCCCTTCATTAATCTCTGAATATCTTGTTCGGAGGTTTTTGCCAACCAAAACTTAACAAACTTAACAAACTACTCTTCCTTGTCAAGGTTGATATAGTCAATCATTAGGGAATACTCTACCATAATCTCTCTTTCTCTGGCCCTTTTGTCTGAAAGGAGCTTGTGTCCATTTGGGATGAAGTGTTCTATATGAATATTGGCTTATCTCACTAGAACTCATTAACCTGATGAACTCAAATTGTCAGTCTCATACTGACAGCTGTACACTGCTTATATCTATGTATGTGTGGATATATTGTTATTGTTGTTGAATGTCATCAAGTCAATTCCAACTCATAAAGACCCTATATGGGCCTTCCAAGGAGGGGCTGTTGCGTTTGATCCACTGACCTTGTGGTTCCCAGTCCAGTGCCGCTTATCCTATAATGCCATACCAGAATTCAATATGTATATACAAATATATATGTGTGTGTGT